GGGAGGGGAGGGGGGAGAGAGAAGGGGGAGGGGGGATCAACGGTGGTGATGACTTGTGACATCTACCTATTCGAGAGGATATATTATTGATACTGCTATAGACTTGCCCATCTCAAGCAATGTGGCGGTTAGCCTGCTCTTAACAGTTGCGTCTCGTCCTTCCAATGCTGATACGCGAGTACCGTGCGCTTAGAGGTCGGGACAGTCACAAGTGGTGGATTTCGAAATTGCAAAACCTTATCTCTCTAGTTGACAGGAAACCTTTTGTGAAGCCAATAGTGCAAATGCGTCCAATTTGCGTGACCGCCTGGTGTCTCATTTCAAGAGTGGGGCGGAATACGTTTAAAAGGCACACAGAGGACCTCGACGACGGAACGATAGATGTCGTTCACGGCCATGAAGGGCGCCCTAGGACGCACGCTAGATACGCCATTACGTGGTCAGCATTTGAAGATATAATTCTGAACGAATCCGATCTGATGCAAGATCAGACAGAGACGGACCCGTTTTTTTAGATTAGGAACCCCATCCGCCTTCCTTCTGTATATGCTACGAAGAGAGATGTTCATCGGAGTATCGAAAGAAGACTTCAGAAAATCGGCGTTGCTTGCTCGTCGTACCAGGTCTTCTGCAAAATGTGACGAGATTTTTTCTGGCAGGTTCTTCTGGCTCGAGCTACCGATCACACAAGGTGCAACGAATGTAATAGTTGGGTCATTCGCATCGAGGGGGCCCTCCCGGGGCCAAGGCGCCAACTTGTTGCGCAACATAAATACCATTTGGCTCTTCAAAGAGCCCATTGCAAACTCTACAGCATTTGGTCGGCGAAGTCGCAGTTCAAGCAGAGAAAGAGCTTATGCATCATAATTGACGGGATGGATCAGGCAACGATTCCCCATGCCACATGCAAACGGTTATCGAAAGAGATGGCGAACAATACTATGATGAAAACAAACCTCACCGGTCTGATTGCACATGGAAGGAATCCCTCACTCTTCGTTCACACCTGGTTCCCGTATTTGTCACAGTTCGAATTTCGTTATCACATCCATTACAAGAGTGCTCGGAGAGGTGCAGGCACGCGATGGGGAGCTCCCCCCCCTGTTGAGGTTGCAAGTGGATAACTGCGGAGGTCAGAATAAGAATAGATACGTGTTCGCTTTCCTTGCGTTGTTAGTCAAGTTCCGTATCTTCGAGGAGGTCCAAATAGGATTCATGATTGTGGGCCACACCCACACGGACATCGACGTGAAATTTAGGTTGTTCGTCAGGAAACTCAGCGGCTGTGACGCTTACACCATGGATGAACTGTTCTCCGTGCTTCAACGTTCTTGTAAGGAGCCCGTAGATTGCACACGTGTTACGGAGATAGTAGATTGGAAAACTATTGTGTCCCCTTACCTTGATCCAAGGATATCCGGTCACTCTACTCCACACCTTTTTCGCTTTTACATGGACGAGGAAAACCCTGCAATGGTATACAAAGAGTAGTGCAACAAAAAAAGGTGGGATCCTTAAAGGTGGGATCCTAAGACAGGGCATGTGTACTGGTTCAAGAGGAACAAGGACAACAGTTGGGCAGGGCCGGAATGGGGATTCCAGCCTTGCCGTGAGTCGCCCAATCCAAGCTGTGGCGATTTCGTCAGCGGCAAGGCCGTTTTAAGAGTGCTGAAGAATTCTTGGGAAGATAAGATTCAGGAATGGGAAACCCACTCCTGAGAGGACAAAGAACTGCAAACGAGCAGATTGCAATACTGGACAGATCGCCTGCGCGAGTTTGATTGAATTGAAGTCGAAGACACGGGGACAGTTCCTCTTTCGACGGCATTCTGGCCGAGCCCGAGTGCTGACAAACCTGGCTCCGGGCCCGTGGCTGCTCACAAGCTTGCATCGCCCGCAAGAAAACCATGCTTCGTGGGTCACAAGAAAGATGCTCCTAAACCTGAATTCGACCCTTGCATGGCGGTCGACGTTGATGGTTTCGTCATGCTCAGGCCTCCGGACGACCATGTCGCGCAGGGGTGCACGTTCTGGGTGGGGCGTGTCCAGAAGAAGGATGAAGACCGCGTCCTTGTTCAGTATTGGAGGCCTTGTGGCCGCGAGCGTAGTGTGCGCGAGTTGTATGCAGACACATGGAACAAGAATTTGAGGGTGGAGACAGAGTCTGAGCCTGGATGGCAAGACCTGAAAAGCGTTGCTTGGGCATGGGCAAGCAACAAACGCTCGACGGCCGGGATAAGAATCAGAAAGAGCAATGTCATCAAGGCACAACAATCCCTCGCCGTTGCCGACGCAGTTGTTTGCTTTGACATGCTGACTGGCACTGCTGAAGCATCTTCGTCAGGGTTGTCAGGCGGGGGCCCCAGGGGGCAAAGCCGGGGTAGGGGTTTGACCCCCGGACCCCCGCCGCCGGGGTGCCCC